GGTGATGATGGAGGTGGTGGCGATGGTGGAGGTGGTGGAGGTAATGGAGGTGGTGGAGGTGATGATAGAGGTGGTGGTGGCGATGGTGGAGGTGGTGGAGGTGATGATGGAGGTGGTGGAGGTAATGGAGGTGGTGGAGGTGATGATGGAGGTGGTGTTGGAGGTGATGGTGATGATGGTGGTGAAGGTTATGGAGGTAGTGGTGGTGGTGGTGGAGTTGATGGATATTCGAACATGCCTGACCTAAAAAAAGTTCATTTTCATTTCTGGCTGGGCATGGTGGCTGATGCCTGTAATCCCAACTCTCTGGGAAGCCTGGGTGGAAGGGCTGCAGTGAGCTGTGATTGCACACTGCACTCCAACTCAGGTGTCAGAGTGAGACCCTGTCTCCTAAAATACTTTTTTACAGTTCATTTTCATGTGGCTCAACCTCATAGTGTCCCTGCCAAAAATATTTTAATCTGAATCCAATCATGGGGAAATTACAAGACAAATCGGATCAAAAGACAGTCTACAAAACAGTTGGTCTGAAGTTTTGAAAATTGTCAACATGTTAAAAGAAAAAAGAAAAAAAATGGCAAGGGAACTCTTCTAGAAAAGAGACGTGATAAGTTGGTACAGCATGTGTCCCCTCGCATGTGTCTAGGACCCAGTCAGAACAGGAGCTGGAGCACGCGAGGAAGGGGGGTGGAGACCACCTCCAGGGGGCAGCGTCCTCCTCTCCACGTTGCGCGTCCTGAGTGGGAACCTGCACTGGGGTTGTGCGGGGACGGGCTGAGGTCACAGGAGACCCTGCCCGGGTACGTTGTGGCAAGGCGCTATGGCGCCTGCAACTTAACTTTCCCGTGTTTTGGGAGAGAAAATGCTCATTTATGGAGAGAGACGGAAGAGCGAGCACAGAGAAGAGGAAGAGCGAAAGCAGTCGCGGAAAACGCGAAGCGCTCAGGGTTGGCGTTGAACGCATGTGGGTGGCCTTGTGTGACCTTTTTGAAAGTTCAAAAATTTTCAAAATATAACGTTAGAGAGAAATCCTTTTAGAATAAAATGCCAGTTGTGCAGCCGTAAGAGCAGGAGTGGCCCCTGGTTGGGTCTCTGATTCTAGAAAGCCAAGCTGGGCCGCCATGACCTGTCACTAGCCCCGGGAGCGCCCTGGTGCCCGCTGGTCCTGCGCGCTGTGTTAGTTGTCAGAGTGGGTGTGACCTGTTTGTGGATTTTGCAGGTCTGGAGGCGGCTGGTGGAAATCCACTTCCCCATGGAGCATGGCTGGAAGGAGTCATTGCTGAGAGACATGGAAGGGAGGCTCAAAAAGGTACCAAAAGTTGGGGGACATTCTTTTCAGGGCATAAGGTTAAGCTGGAGAACCTCAGACCATCAGCGGTGCCTGTCTGTGGGCAGGGACAGGGTGAATCGCAGCTCCGTATTTATGTTTCTGATCCAGCCCTGGCAGTCTGTCCCCAGAAGAGCACTTTGGATTCTTACTGAGAGGACAGAGAGGAACAAGGGCCCAGGATCTCACCTTCATAGGGGTGTAAGATTTTTCTTGACCCCTTCATCGGACTTGGGATGGGGGTGCCGCGTTTACTTGGCCCACCGTGTTCAACCCCTTGTGGGAGGGAGCACATGAGCGAGCGGGTGTGGGATCCGGCCAGCTGCTTTGGGAGCTGGCACAGCAAGCTCCATGCGGGCCCTGCAGCAGTGCTCAGGTGGAGGCGCCTGCGGCCCCTGAAACTCCAGAGAGCGTGTTACAATGCTCTTAGCTCCGCTGTCTACAGACGTGGTGTGTTACCAGCTCAGTGGGCCCCTTGCCTTGTTGCCTAGACTGGCTGCCCTCTGCCAGCGAGGGCAAAGGGCTGGTGTGGCAGCCTTTTTTGGGTACCCACACTTGGCAGGTCTTGAGCTCTTGTCTGGCATCCAAGAAGAATGAGGTCACCTGGACACTTGAAGGATGGTGAAGGCAGAGAATTTATTAAGCAATGGAAATGGCTCTCAGTGGAGAGGGGAGCTGGAGAGGGGATGGGTCAGGCAGGTCATCTGCCTCTGGTCCAGCTGTCTCTGGCTGGCTCTTCTCTGAAGTCAAGCCGTCTTTCCAAAGTTAAGCCATCTCTCCTCCCAAGTCCAGCTGTCCCTCTGAAGTCAAGTCACCTCTTTCCAGTCAAGCTGTTTCTCTCTCGCCACCAAGTCTGGGGTCTTTATAGGCGTGGGATGGGGGGCAGGTGGGCTGTAGGTATTTTTGGAAAAAGCAACATTTGATTGGTCAAAAGACTTTACTCCAAAAGCGCCAGTGGGGAGAGAGCATGTACACAGGGACAGAAGTTCTCACTTTGGGCTGTTGTCAGGCTCTTCTGCCCGAAGGTGGGGTTTTGCCGGGGACTCGCTCCTGTCTGGCTAGGACTTCTCTGCCTCTTGCCTCTATCAGTGGGGCCCCCGGCACAGGAGAAGCCAGGCCTGCTCATAGGCAGTAAGTCTGAGTGGCCTGTTGGTGACAGGAGCCTCATTAAACACAAGCAGAGAACACACAGACGTGCCCCTCATGCCGAGACTCTAGAAAAAGTAGTTTTTATGGGATATGAGAGTTTTATATGTAACTGTTAAATGGATCTTTAAAGGAAAAACAGACGCAAGGAAAATGACTGACTTCTCATAACTTACCTGTTTTTACAAGCCAGCTGCTATTTCTGCAGAGTGGGAAAAGAGACTCTTTAAAATTTTAGCCTTGCTGGTCCCCTGGTTCGGGGCAGAGAGGACATGGTTTGTGTGGGCAGGGAGAAGCTGAAAACTGGGGGAAACGGGAAAACGGTGGGAAAGGCAAAATGACGAAAGCACTTTCATCCCATAGAGTATTGGAGCACTGCGTCCGAAAGCTCTGAAACCCCCTCTTCGGTTTTTGCAGGAGATGCCCCTCTCCCAGATCACTGCCTACTGCAGTACTCACTGGGACACCGACGGCCTGGAGGACAGTGTGGCCAAGACCTTCAAGAAGTGCGTCATTGAAGCCGTGAGCTCAGCCTGCCAGGTGAACAGCCTCTGCCCCCGGGAAAGCGTATCGGGCTCACAGCTGTGTTCTCCCGGGACGCAGCTAAGGGCCATAAAGCACCTGTTAGGGCTGAGCTCCTCGGCTGACTCAGAGGTCGGGAAGTGGGCAGCCTCCTCCCTCGCCCAGGGCAGTGGCACTGAAACCCAGTTCTCCCCGCATTCCTCGGCATGCCGCACAGCCCCTGCTGCTCATGCCATCCTGCGTGTGTTCTGTGGAATCCCCCCATGTGGCACGAGTCAGGTGGGCTTTCAGGCCCCTCCTCAGGTGGCCGTTACCGCTGTGCTGCCGCTTTGATGGTTAACGCTTGCTTAGCAGATATGCAGGAAAAGGCTGCAAAGGCTTACAGAACATTTATGGAAGCAAAACGTGTGAAATGGAAAATTCTATCCATTTATTTAGCTATTTTCTGCAAAGAGGAAGAGATTGTCCTCAGCCTCCTGTGTAGAGATTGTCCTGCCTCAGCCTCCTGAGTAGCTGGGATTACAGGCACCTGCCACCACGCCCAACTAATTTTTTGTATTTTTGGTAGAGATGGGGTTTCACCATGTTTGCCAGGCTGGTCTACAACTCCTGACCTCAAGTGATCCATCTGCCTCAGCCTCCCAAAGTGCTGGGATCACAGGGGCGGACCACCATGCCTGGCCAATTTCTTTTAACGATGTTTTTGTGTTTTCCAGGGTTTAAGTTTTGCACTTCTTTTGTTAAATTTCTAAGTATTTGTTTGGGTACTATTGTCATTGGAGTTGTTTTCTGAATTCCATTTCCAGATTGTTCCTTGCTGGTGTCTAGACATGCAGCTGGTCCATGTGTCCTGCAGCATTGCTGAGCTCATTCGTTAGCTCAGATTGTGTGTGTGTGTGTGTGTGTGTGTGTGTGTGTGTGTGTGAGAGAATTAAGTTTTCTGTACATAAGGTCACATCATCTGTGAACAGAGTCTCACTTCTTCCAGTCTGGATGCCTTTTATTTCTGTCTCTTGCCTGATTGTGCTGACTGGAACCTTCAGTGCAACGTTGAATGGAAGTGGTGACAGGGGCATCCTTGTCTTGTTCCTCATCTGGGAGCTTTCGGTCTTGGCGCCAGGTGTGATGTCAGCCGTGAGGTTTTCATAGACGCCCTTTGTCAGATTGTGGAAGTTCCTTTCTGTTTCTCATTGGTTGAATGGTGGTGGTTTTTTTTCTTTAATCACAGAAGGGAGTTGAATTTTGTCAGATGCTTTTTCCATATCTACTGAAATGATCGTGCGATATTTTCCTATTTATATGAACTGATATTTGATGTTAAATCAATCTTTTATCCCTGGGATAAATTACACTTGATCACAGTGTATAGTTGCTTTTTTATGTGGCTGGATAAGGTTTTCTTTTATCCTTTTAAATGCCTGAAAGTATCTATTGTAAATTAACCGTGTGGTTTTTATTCATTACTGAAACGTTTTGCAGAAACCTTGAACCTAAGGAAGAAAAATATTATTTCTCGGTGGAGAGGTAAAAAGAGAATTAAAATGTATGCGTTGTTTGAAGGCAGCTTCTTAAAAGAATTATACTTTAGGAACATAAAATATATGTTATATTAAGGGTTTATTCATTTTTGCTATTTTTCATGATATGAAAGTTTAAAAAAAAATAAAGTAGCAACTGACAGCCAGAAGAAGGAGAGTAACTGGTTCTGTTGGGGTGTGTGTGTGTGTGTGTGTGTGTATGTGTTTGTGTGTGTGTGTGTATGTGTGTTGGTGTGTGTGTTGGTATCTGTGTTGGCGTGTGTGTGTGTGTTGGTATGTGTGTGGGTTTGGGTATGTTGTGTGTTGGTGTATGTGTTTGTGTGTGTTGGTGTGTGTGTGGGTTTTTGCGTATGTGTTTGTGTGTGTGTGTGTTTGTGTATGTGTGTTGGTGTGTGTGTGTTGATATCTGTGTTGGTGTGTGTGTTGGTGTATGTGTTTGTGTGTGTTGGTGTGTGTGTGGGTTTGTGTATGTGTGTGTGTGTGGGGTTTGTGTATGTGTGTTTGTGTGTGTTTGTGTATTGGTGTGTGTGTGTGTGTGTTGGTATCTGTGTTGGTGTGTGTGTGGGTTTGTGTATGTGTGTTTGTGTGGGGGTTTGTGTATGTGTGTTTGTGTGTTTGCATATTGGTGTGTGTGTTGGTGTGTGTGTGTGTGTCTGTGTGTTTGTGTGTGTGTCTTCACATCTCTGGAGGCAATATACAAGGAAACGAACATTTTCTAAGACGTGGAATGTTTTACTATTTTGCTCTTTTTGTGGCCTTATGCAACGAGTTACAGTAGCTTTCTGAAATGCAATTGGGTAGGTAATTTACTTTTGTTATTACCTAGAACAAACTAACGGAAAACTCCTAAATTTCCCTCTTAAATTTTCTTGTAGTCTCAGACCAGTATCCTTCAGGGGCTCTCTTGCCATGATCTGCGGAAATTCGGCACCCTCTTATCTGCTGTGATCACCAAGTCCTGGCCTAGGCACCATGGGGAAGCCGTGGATGACTTGGATGAAGTTTTCAAGCACCTGCTCACGTGGGCAGATGTCAAACATCTCTTCAAATTGTGCGGTATGTTTGCGGGAGTGCTGGGAACATGAGCTCGGTGAAGATGGTGTCTGCCTGACTGGGGAGGGAGGAGTCAGATGGTTTGACCTGATGGGCTGATATTGAATTGGGAGGGGCTGATGTTTGAGAAAGGCCGCAGCTTGGACAGAGAGACCCAGGAAGGCGCAGAGTATCTTGCTTTGTAAATAATGACCAATGCTAAAAGCCCCATTCATTGAATGCTTGCTATACCCTAGTGGCTGTGCTGATCCCTGCCCGTGCAACAGCCCTTTCTGAAAGTCCACTTTAAGTCCCCAATTTTCAGATGAGGAAACAAATAGCGCAATGTAACTTATCCAAGAGCTCAAAGATTATAAGTAGCAAAAACGAAAATCCAAACCCAGGTGTGTCTTGCTTATTTGGAGATCAGTGCAGAATGTCCAGGCCAACACTGAGGACCTACACAGAAAATGAAGTCCTGTGCTCTCTGATTTCCCACCCAGCCCCTGCGCCCCAAGTGTTTTGTGATCAAGGAGGGAGAGAGACATTCCATCCTCAGAACGTTCAAGGCCAGCTGATGTGTGAGACCTTAGATCAGATATTTTAGCGAGAAGGCACCGGATAGGGAACAGCCAAAATAAATGCTGCGCTTCCTACATTGGGGAACTGTGGGAATAAAATAACATCATGGATATGGAAGTGCATAAGGAAAAGCTACTCACTTGAAAAGATCATTTTTGCGTTATTTGTATATTTTTATTTGTTTATTTTTGAGATGGAGTCTTGCTCTCTCACCCAGGCTGGAGTGCAGTGGCGTGATCTCAGCTCACTGCAGCCTGCACTTCCCAGGTTCAAGCGATTCTCCTGCCTCAGCCTCGCGAGTACCTGGGACTACAGGCATGAGCCACTGCGCCTGGCAATTTATTTATTTTTGAAGCAAGGTCCTCTCTGTTGCCCCAGTTAGCATGTAGCAGTGGTGCCATCATTGCTCACTGTAAGCCACAAACTCCCAGGCTCAAGTGATCCTCCCGTCTCGGCCTCCTGCATGGCTCGGGCTCCAGGCATGGAGTTCCATATCCACCATGCCTAGCCTGTTTTTAAGTTAGAATTTGCTGGAGTACTTTTATGCATACAGAAAAATTAAGCAGAAAGTACAGAGTTCTCACCTCTCTCCCCGACCATCACACAGGCGGTACCCTATTATTAACATGCAGCATTAGCGTGGTGCTTTTGTTATAGCTGACAAGCCAATATTGATACACTGTTATTAACTATCGTCCATAGTTTACATAGTATTCACTCCTGGTGCTGTCCATTCTATGGGTTTGGACAAATGTATCATGGCCTGCATCCACCATTACAGTATCATACGTAGTAGTTTCATTACCCTACAAAATCCCCTATCCTCCACCACCCACCTTGCTCCCCTTTTGTCTTTTCCAAAACATCCTGTAGTTGGAATCTTTTTTTTTTTTTTTTTTTTTTTTTTTTTTTTTG